CCGTTGGAAAGATCTTCACCTCATCTTTCCGGGGGTATAAAGTTCTTCGCGATAGGATAAGAATTCATTGAGCGGCGACAAGATGAACACGGAAATCACGGCCCAGAGTGAACGCGCGCTGTATCGCAGTGCATAGACCAGTGTACAAACTTTCGTAACTTCGTCAAACATAAACGCATCGCGAAAATCAATACACCGTTGGAAAGATCTTCACCTCATCTTTCCGGGGGTATAAAGTTCTTCGCGATAGGATAAGAATTCATTGAGCGGCGACAAGATGAACACGGAAATCACGGCCCAGAGTGAACGCGCGCTGTATCGCAGTGCATAGACCAGTGTACAAACTTTCGTAACTTCGTCAAACATAAACGCAACGCGACAATCAATACACCGTTGGAAAGATCTTCACCTCATCTTTCCGGGGGTATAAAGTTCTTCGCGATAGGATAAGAATTCATTGAGCGGCGACAAGATGAACACGGAAATCACGGCCCAGAGTGAACGCGAATTTTTTTGTTCATAACTTCTTTTTGTTGCAGAGCGTGCCAGGGGATTTCCCTTTTGGCACGGCGCATGCGTAATGGACATCAAATGAAGCGCTTGGATCTGAGCTTTGCAGCGCAGTTTGAATTGTGAAAATCTGTTGAATTTGGGCAAGAAGCCGAACAAGAATGTGAAATTGAGTTGTTGTGCCGTTCCGAGGCACGGTGGAGTAATTCGGAGAGGACCTGGATGTGGCCCTGATGTGTCTATGGAGCTGAGAGCTGCCAGGATGGATTCGCTTGGTCCTGATCTTTCCAACGAGCCCAGGACGATGAAAATCCGTCAAGGTTGAGTAAAATCAGAATAAATTTCGTTCGGAGCTGTGAGTGCATACTCCACCAAGAGAGTCAGTGCGCTGGACGGCCAGTGGATTGGAGAAAAGGGGCTCAGCATGCAAAGGGTTAAGGTGCGTGCGACACTTCCAGCATGTAACTGACTGTCGCCTATTGTCGCAAGCACTCGCAAGATTGCGACGAGCGACATACGACAACCGTCTAGTACTAGTATACTAAAAGTGCATCTCCACCCGATACGGACCAGATACGGACAGGAAGAAGAGAAAGCAATCCTGCAGCAGGCAGTGGACTCGCTGGCAGCGTGGGGAAGCAGGTGGAGGATCAAGTATATTCCCAGTAAGCCATGAACGGAGACCCTCTCGACTTAGGCCTCGGCCTTTGGGGAATTAAATTAAAAAATTAAAAAAGTTTGAACGCACAAAGTTGTCAATCAGCCATCACCGCTCACCGAACCCTCTGACCGAGCAACAGTCATGCCAGAAGTGGAGGAACTCAAGTGTCTTGGTGTTACTTCTGACAGGCAGCTAGCATTGCACAGCCACATCCCACAGCTTGCAGTGTGCGGAGCCCAGCGGCTAGGCTTCCTCCGTAAGGGATTGGCTGTGCTAGACCCAAAACAATCGTGGCTTTTTCCGCCCTGTGTTAGAGTATGGCATGCTGGTGCGGATGAGCGCGGCCTCTACCACCTCGGTCTGCCTCACTGCCATCCAGGGCCATGCCCTATACATAATTGGAGATGGATCATGCCTCCCAAGCCTCAACATTCTACCAACAGTAGCAGGGCTCTGCTTCCAGTACAAGCTACACTTTGTGGAGGGTCTGCAAATGCTGAGGCCATTCTGCCACCATCAGCAGCCGCACCGTGCTACCGCACGTCTACTCGTGCGACCACCAGATCTGCAGCACATCTCCCATCACAACTATCCAATATTCTTCCTCCTCAGTCACGAATCAACACATGCTGCTCATTCCCTCATCGCAACGTGGAATCAGCCCATGCCCACCCTTATGCAGTCTCCCCCTTTCCGCAGAAGTTTGCGGACCTACAAGAAAAAATGTCAACGACCACTGTGGTCCACAGACAAGTTATGATCTCTTGATGCTGGTCAGCATACCTGCTGACTATACAGACTGCTCCCCCCCCCCCCCCCCCCATAGTAGGCACACCCTTCTCTGATCCCCATTGGTCAACCTTAAACATTTTCTCTCTCAGTTCTCGTACCTATGCAATTATCATTTATCTCCATCTTCATATTTACATGGTTCCTTTACCACTGTGATATCCTTTCTCAATCTCCACCTCACTCCATGATCGTTCTGCGAAGGTGCTCCTGCACAACAAATATCCACGATTATCTGAGTTTAATTTTGAGAATTCCTATTTTAGACTTGACCGACAAGGCGATGGTTATTATTGTAAACAAAAGGAGAAGAGGTTGGTGCGACTTCGGCGATACTTGGGCAATGGTGTGTTGCTCCCTACATGGGACCTCGCGGTTTTCCTGCCAACTTGACTTCTCACTTGACTGAATCACAACTACCATCCAGAGCACACGAGAAGTCCATCGAACCGTCCACTCGGCAAACCTGCAAGAAGGCACCACTCCCTTCTCAATACACAGTGTTTCATGGAACTCACCCTTCATCAGTTCAGCTTGAGTAAGCTGGGGAGAATTGTGCCAGAGGAGTACCACTTATATAGTGCTCTCCATACACAAACATCACCAGGGATACAAGTTTACAGAGATGTCCGTTTCCAGCGCGACAAACACCTCGTGAACACCAGAATAATAGCAGCGTGGGTCAGTGACGCTTTTGCCTCCAAATCATCTAATTCGGAAGCCCACGCTTCGGCGATACTTGGGAAATTGTGTGTTGCTCCCTACATGGGAGCTCGCGGTTTTCCTGCTGACTTTAATTCTCACTTGACTGACTCACGACTGCCATCCAGAGCACACGAGGAGTCCATCGCACCATTCCCTCGGCAAACTTGCAAGACAGCATCACTCCCTGCTCAAAGCTCAGTGTTTCCTGGAATTCACCCATCATTAGTTGAGTTGACTGAGGAAGATTGTGCCTGAGGAGCACCACTTATACAGTGCTCTCCAAGTACAAACATCACCAGAGATAAAAAATTACAGAGCCCAGCTCAGGCTTTGAATTAGATGATTTCCAGGAAACAATGGTGTGAATGGCCAACGGTCATCAGCGCTTGTTCAGCACCTCCATGGGTGACACTGGCCCACGCTGCTATCTGGTGTTCACTAGGTATTTGTTGCGCTGGAAACAGAGCGCCTTACATGTGATTTCTAACGGCAATGAGCAGAAAACAAGTGCGTAAGAACTAAGAGATGTAAGGTTCTGACCGCCTTAGAGACATTATTACATATCATGCATGAGAATCTTCTTACATGTCTACTCTCCATATAACATAATCTCTGGGACCACGCAAAAATTATGTTATATCGAGAGGTATGTTATGTAGAAACCCGTGTGTAAAATACACCATGTACCTCAAAATGAAGGGTATTACAAGGCGGGTTCAACCGTGCAAACATATACACACTGTACCACCATCGACATCAGATATCATCAATGCCGCAGAATATATGCACAATATGACTAAACTGGCTAGCTACGGCTACAGCTTGATCGTACTGAGCACATGATTCTACGTTGTATCGAAAGTGCGCACGTCGGGGACCGCGCCATAGGGTGCGTTATGCGGACTCCCGCCGGAGGTTTACGTTATCTACGACTAAACTGCCCTAAACTGCCTAGCTACAGCTACCGCTTGATCGTAACGTGCAGGTGAATTTAGGTTGTATCGAGAGTGCGCACGTCGGGGACCGTGCAGTCGCGTGTGTTATGTCGAGGTTTATGTTATGTAGGATTATGTCGTGTAGAACAAAATTTGTATGAGAGTGATGCTGTTTCGGCGCAGGATTTGATTTTTTACTTACTAGCGAGGTTTATGTACAAGTGAGAGTTGTTATATCGAGAACAGACCTGTACCTTTCTTTCTCGGTTTCCTAAAATACCCCATGTTTTTTTTCCTTTTGCAGATGTCGATGAATGCTTGACTTTGTGCAAAGGCAATGGTACCAGTTGCACCAACACAGTTGGGAGTTACAAATGTGAATGCGAAACGGGATATAATGGAACTGCACCTTATTGTACTGGTTAGTACACTGGTTAGCAGTTTGGATCCGCTGCTCTGTTCTGAGAAGCAGTGATCCCTCGTTCAATGTGTATTTTACTCCAATTTTGACTTTTTCCAAATATCCTCGATATTGAGAGTCTTCGGACCAAACGATAAATTCTACATTTTTCTACTTCGAAGTAATAATTTCAAACTACCGTAACTTGGTCAATTCTCAGTTGTTTAGGGAGAAAAAACACTCAGCTGTCGTCTCGAACAATTACCGAACCGATAGGATGAACGGTGAGTGAGTTACTACACACGTAACGTTCATCACGGTCAATTGGCGCTCAGGCCCGCAATGCGTGACTGAACGGACAGGATTTTCCCTGAACTCGTCGGCTGTTGGCAATGATACACTCATTCAAATTTGAAAAGAGTTTCCTGCAAGTGCCTTCAAAAAATCAGCTTCATACGATCGAGGAAAGTGAAATAGCAGATGGAGAACGATCTAGAGAGCGAGCCTTACGCTGAAACGCCTTTGCTGGCTTGCAGCGCTGGTCAAGCACATCTCGTGGACTCGAGTTTGAGCTCATCGTATTCTCCTTAGGGGCTTTCCAGGATGACCAAGATGATGACAATTGTCCCAGGGAAACTAAAGTTACGTCCAATTCAAGGTAAAGAATTTGAGGCCACAATTCTTCACATACATTGAAACATTTTATTCTGAACTCCTCCTGCCTGATGTGAATGGGAATAATAGTTGAGAAAGTAGTACTTATACTTGTACCTGGTTGATTGACCCATGTGTGTTAATCTATTCCCCTTATAGATATCAATGAGTGTAACAGCATGTGTGTTAATCTATTCCTCTTATAGATATCAATGAGTGTAACAGCATGTGTGTTAATCTATTCCTCTTATAGATATCAATGAGTGTAACACCATGTGTGTTAATCTATTCCTCTTATAGATATCAATGAGTGTAACACCATGTGTGTTAATCTATTCCTCTTATAGATATCGATGAGTGTAACACCATGTGTGATAGTACATTGGCACAATGCAACAACACTTTGGGAAGTTATTCGTGCACTTGCAATCCTGGATACACTGCTGATGGGACTACCTGTAGAGGTTAGCTATGGTGTATAGTGATTCACTCAGTGTGTTCGATTGGGCACGCGAATCGATTCATAAATCCATTCATCAATCGATTCGCGCTATTCACATCATCCCATGTGAATAGGGTGAATGGATTCTGAATCGATTCCAGGGCTCATAACATGAAATCGAACGGCGAGATTCCATTCATGAATCGATTCAAGTGCGTAATCAAACGCACTCACTGTGTTTGTGTGTGTGTGCGTGTGTCTGTGTGTGGGTGGGTGTGTCACGCACGTACGTTTGTGTGTATGTGTGTGTCCACCAAAAATGCATACATAGTATCCTGCGTGTTTCCTGAAAACAACAATGGGAGGAACGCATAACCTTTGAGCGTTTTTGTTTTGTGGGATCCATCGATATTATCCTAACGGCTTCGGAACCGGAGGGTTGAGTGGCTTGGCCATGTGTCACACTAGCCGATTTTCATGTGCCCAAGCAGCTTTTGCTTTGCTTTTTACCATCGCCTCGGCCTACGTATGTTCCCCGGCTTCGCTGGAAGAATGTGATTTTGTCTGATCTTGAGCACATCGGCATTGCACATCTGGCCTGGTAGGAGATCGTTCAGGCTCTTTCTGCTTGTCAGGTATCTGCCATTTTGTCGGGCCTCGCCAGAAAGCACCCTGACCAATCTCAGCGTGGGGACTGTAGTATCTGCTATCGCTCATTTCGTCAGCCAGGTGGCAAAGCAAGGCACAAATGTAGCTCAAAGAGACGTCTCTCTATTAGGAGCATCATGGCATGCGATAAGCTACCAAATACAGATCCACAATGTGGTCAGCATGCTCCTCATCTGTGTACCAACTAGACATGCTTGATCCAGTCCAGACCAACAGGCGCTTAATATACCTTGCATTCTCTCTTGAAAAATAAGACTCGGGATAACATGTGAATCGATGTCCACCAGACCTGCCACCCTTGCCTCAAAAGGCGTGTGGTTTCTCCATTTCTCATGCCATCAAATTAAAAAATCAGGCAAAACAAGCAAGGTGTAGTGAAACAAATCGACTGGAAGCTCGGGTATAACAATAAATCATCCAATCCTTATGTTAAACATGCACTTCCTCCGCGTCAATAAAATGGTCGCTTCGCACATTGCAATATTTGTGACTTGCTCGTCTTAGTCCGACTGTCAGAATCGCTGTTTTCTGTGTTCGAACATTGGTGCGACCCTTCCTGCGCAATGTTGACTTGGATTTTGTCGGAGCTCTCTTCCGCACCAAACAAATTCATCGCGCTCCGCACTATTCCACCCCAAAGCAAGTATCGTTCTTTTTCTGGAGTTTGTGCCTTCGCATATCGTTCGCGCGGGCATTTATCGACTGGAAGCTCAGGTACAACAATTCTGGTGTCTCTCCTGAATATGAAATAGCGGTCACGTGCTCATGTGTACACCAGTCGCCTGGTCACTGTGCCTGCAGAGTACAATTTTCACATCAAGATTCAACTCAAAGGTTCAAAGCAGGGAGTCGTAAGAGGCTTTTACGACTCCCTTGTTCAAAGGTTCAACTCGAGTGACATAAACGGGCCCAAACAGGCTGTAAATGAGCAAGTGACCGCTTACTCAACCGTGTTTGATTGGGAACGAGGGCCGAATGCTGCATCGCAACCTTTTCGGACCAAAACCAGTCGACTCAGCGGCCAAAAGACTACAAAATATGGACCAATCGCGGTCATCCGCGCTTTTATAAGAACGAAACGGCGTTTTTAGTGACTTTTTCCATACAAATCCCTATCTAGCAGGGCGCAGTCACCCAGTTTCGGTGGAAGTGCGCAAGTTCAATTGAAAATAAAGGAGGAAGGGAGCGTCTCAGCTTCCTCGGACCAAGACCATTCGACTCAGCACCCCGAAGACTACAACAGGTGAAATTTTGATTTTAGGGTATTTATTATTATTACTTGCATGTACGCGTTGGAGTCAACCATGCAAGCATGATCCACAACTTCGCTTATGCTGAACATGATAAACAGGACTATGACAGGGGAAAGAAATTGAGCTAGAACGATGATACAATGATATAATTATCATATACAATGTAGCTCATGGGTATTGAAGATATGTCATTTATGAATATGTCTTTAATTATGTCATTGAATATTGCAGCCTGAGTGATAATAATAGTGCTATTTCCTGAGTTTGACTGTTTCAGGACCTGTCGGAATATTTTAGGGTATACTTCCCCTTTAAGTACTTCCTCCGCGTCATCGAAATTGTCGCAGTTTGACTTTTGATATAAAAACGGGGTATTTACTCACCAGCACTCGTACCAGAGGCAGGGAATGGGATATAGGCGATAGTCATCAGTATAGGGTGACGGTAAAGTTCTATTTTCTATTATTGGAAGCTGGAATTTTTGAACTAGACGCAATTTCTTCGCTGATGTCGCTGCGATGGTAATTTCGACTCGCGGAGATCAGTCAGGCGTTGCAGCCTGCACATTTCTCGTGCTTATGGCCATTCACTCAAGCCTCATCACTGTTTTACCTTAGCTGGGGTGAGAATGCCCTTCGTGGAACAAGTGGCAGCGCTTGGAGAAACATCGAGGGGTCAGCAAACTAAATGCCTGCAACAGCGATAAAATTTGTCGCTCTGGTTGAGACACTCAGTACATGATTGTACCTGCAAGAGTCGTGTAGACTCTACACGTAGTGTTAGTGATGCACGCGCAGGTGCCGTACCATGGTATACCAGTGATGCTGATACCAGGGCGCGCTGGACGCGATAGTAGTACACTTACCTGAGCTGCATGAGCTGTGACCAAACAGCTAAAATAAATGGGCATGCCACGGCTAAAACAAGTTCATTTCAAGATCGAGGTGATTCCGCCGACGGTAATCAACCGACCTCGCAACGATCGTGTATTCTTACTAGGCTTCGTTGGTGGTGAAGTAGAAATCATCCAGAGCTAGCAGACGACAAGCATAGCAGCTCTTGTCCTGTGGAGAAAGTCAAAGCGTTTGAGATGAGGCGCGACCAACTTTCAACCTTCTTTGAAATATTTCGGAACGATATTTTTGCGTCCATTGACATCAGCGACGACGAGGACTTCATCTCTGCATGAAAACTCTCAGTCCAACTGTTCTGGAACGTTACTCTAGTCTTCAGACTATCATACTGTGTAATATGATTTGAATGGCTTAGCTTATGGAGTTGTCAGTAACAAGTAACAAGTCACTAGTCAAACTGCGACAATTTCGATGACGCGGAGGAAGTATTAAAATTGATTTATCCATCGTTAGGCAATCATTTTTTATATCTATGTTTCGCGTCAGTTCAACTTCCAGAATCATATGCGAGAGGTGGAAAAAAAATAGTTGCAAAATAATAAAAAGGCTCATCAAATCTGCGGAGGTGGATGCACTGTACATAGCACAATAGCTCGTGCATGGTGTACATTCGAAAGAAAATCGTACATCGAAGCACAACATCTGGGTTATCAGCATGAGTAAATATTCACTTTGGACAGAGGAGGCAACCGTTGGTGCCTATGCTTCGCTGTATTATTGTACTCAGACTTCAGCAGCGGTGCAAAGACCTCCGGAATGACGCATCCTCTCAGCTTGAGGCGATCAATGCTGTCTGGTGTTAGCTCATAGAATATTGCTCCCAGATGCCGAACAAAAGATTTACCAACGCTGGCCTAAAGGCCATTTCTGAATCTCAGCTTCGCCGTATGCAACCAGTCCACACTGATGACTTGCACGATCGTACACTCACCGTGCATGTAAGATTTTTTATTTTTTCCGAAAAAAATCAAAACGTATGCGTGCGGACGACGCGAAACATAGCTATAGAAAATGATGGCCTTAAGCTAAAGGGAAATTAATACGTGAAAACCCATGATCGCTTCAACCCTAGTTGGACGCCCTTGTTCTGCCTACAATTCGTCAGATAACCTTATTTTTGTTAACTATTAAAATTGATTAATCCATCGTTAAGCTAAAGAGTAATCGATAGTTGAAAGCCCACGGTCGTTTTAATCCTAGTTTGGATGCCCTTGTTTTGCCTGCAATTCGTCAGATACTGTTATTTTTGTTAACTACTAAAATTGATTAATCCATCGTTAAGTTAAAGAGTAATCGATAGTTGAAAGCCCACGGTCATTTTAATCCTAGTTTGGATGCCCATGGTTTGCCTGCAATGTCAGACACTATTTGTTAACTATTAAAATTGATTAATCCATGTTTAAGCTAACGAGTAATCGATAGGTGAAAACCCATAACCATTTTAAAGCTAATTTCTGACGCCCATGGTTTGGCCCGCACTGTCAGATTTTTTCACTTCACTTTACTTGGAATGCACAATTTCATTTCCTAAATTCACTTATAGGCACATCTACGCTTGAAGAAATCACTTTAGCCCCAGTTTTGAACCAATCCGCAACAAGCACGTTAGCCCCAACTTTGAACCAATCCGCAACAAGCATGTTAGCCCCAACTTTGAACCAATCCGCAACAAGCACGTTGAACCAATCCGCAACAAGCACGTTAGCCCCAGATTTGAACCAATCCGCAACAAGCACGTTGAACCAATCCGCAACAAGCATGTTAGCCCTAGCTTTGAACCAATCCGCAACAAGCACTGTAGCCCTATTATCAGATGGTGGTGCGGACCCAACGTCATCTGTGCCTGATATTGGGGAAACCCCCGCCCAATCCGGCTCAGTTATGAGTACTGGGAGCACGACAACTTTCAACAGCACATGTAAGTAATAAATTAATAACTCCTCTTTCCAAGTTGATACAAGATTGTGATGGGGTAATGGTGATGCTGGATCTCACACTAAGTTTCACTGATTTACTTTTTTCACTTCACTTTGCTTGCAATACCCAATTTCATTCTCCAAATCCACTTATTGGCACACCAGTTCTTGCACCTGCACCCTTAGGACTCCAAGGACCCAACGGCACATGTGCCCGATGTTGGGAAAACACCGGTCCAATTTCACTCTGTAATGACTACTGTCAATATAACTTATAACTAATACTAAACTAAAACGGCTAATTTTTGATTTTTTTCCAAAAGGAATGTCTTCGCTAAAAATTTGCATGTCCAGTACGGTACCAGTAATCTAATTTGTTTTAACCCTGAAACTCGCACCTCTAAAATATTATATTTCATCGCTAATTGGTTCTGATTCAGAAATGGATAAATTTGTTAGCTGCTAAAACTATCCTCTTTACAGTACTGGGTGTACTACAACTGACAGTAAGACACTTAAATGAGAATAATGGATAATAATAATTAATTAATAATTGTACTCAGATGGAGAGCCAAGTTATGTTAGAACCTTCCAAGTTGGAACATGGCCAGCAATCGACGACATCTGAGAGTTGTAATTTTTGTACTCCTCCGAGGTGTGATTTTTGGCGTGCTGGGCCAAGCACAAGAAAGCCATCTGCCAAAAATGAAGAAAATGGTTGTATCCTTTGGTATAAACTTTGTAGCTAGTCGAAGGAAGCTGCTGTTTGGAGCAGAAACGCTGATATTGACTATTTTCGGCATGTACTCCTGCATTCAATCAGGTACTCAGGCATGCAGTCTCACCCGTATTTTAGCTCTTTTTCTGAAATGGAGGCTGCTCTGCGCCCCTCGGTGAACATTTCCTGCGCTCGTGGAGCAGCTGAAAAGGACCACTGGTATGTCTGGTCCCTGGTTTGAAAGTGGAGAGTCGACTTTTGTGCCTTGATAAAGGTACGTCTCAGGTAGCTTATTTTGAGTGCTCCTCGTACAATTTTGATCGTGATAGAAATCCTCAGACCAAAGTCAGCGCGAAGATGGCCGTACAGTTTTCTTGTGCATTTTTTAGTTGTTTCGTCTCGTATCTATGTCAGTATCGTGATGGTGAAGTGGAGGGGGTGATTTACTTCCTCTGGGCTTCGTTTGGCCGACTTTGCTTCGTCCTCGTTGAAAAGTGATGCTGAAAAAAGGTCGATTTATAGCAAAATTATGTTGATTTTGAATGTACGTGATGACATGCGATTGCTGGCTATGAGGTTGTTGGAGTGTGCATCCAAGATGTCATCACCAGCAATCAGCGACATCGCGCCTGACAAAAGTCTTTCGAATAAAATATTTCCACCCAAACGTCACTGCTGGTGCTGAGCTCGCGCGATCGAGTGTGAAGTTTTTTTTGTGATCTCAATGAAAAAGGATTTTTTTGAACTCACGCTGTACACAACAAGCTCTCTGATCTGCATGACTGTCTTTTTCGGTGGAGGTGATTTTTTTTGTTGTTGTTGTTGTGGCTGGCGACGAGAAGGCTCTCATTTACGCTAGGTATCTCATAGACAGAATGAGCCTGGTTTTTACGCCAAGCTGATGTTTTCAGCAGCAGTCCGCTGTGGAGAAAATTCAAGCAGTCTTAGGGGCCTGAAGTTTTCGCTGCTTCTTACCGGATCGACAGTGGGAAAGAAGGTACGTTTATTTTATTGTAATAAATCAGGTCGCGAGGTCGACACAATTGAGCTGTTCGTTGCACTGTGAATTTTGTTGCTTTAGGGTGGCAGCGTGCAGTACCTTGTGAAATGGAGAGACTTTATTCTCTATGAACTTGGGAGTATGAAGATATCAGATATCAGTGACGATCTATCAGGTGATTTCATTTCATTTTGGGTGAATTTATTGAATGTATTCTTGCATCTCCCTTTTGTTTGCTGTAGATATTTTGATGGTTCGGGGAATGTTGGGCCCTTTCTCAGATGACGAATGTTTGAGGCTGCTGATGGAGCTTGCACTGCTGTGCAGTGAAAAATAGAAGTGAAATAGTCACAAAAGGCACAATGGAGTTTTACGTATAATAGTGCTCCACATTATTGTGTCGAGCCCTCTCCGCTGGCAGAAGGAAGTTTTCCTCCTTGAAATGAAATAGTCTATTTCTGACTTTCGAATCAGAAACTGGACAAAGGGGGTTGGGACCGAAGAATTTCCCTGTGAAGTTCTTTCCTCCAGGTTGGGATGCTTGCATGAACGTACATGGACAAGGCCCACGGGCTCACTACCTGATTACCTTCAAGCCTATGATTCGCCGTAGTCCATGTACGTTCCTGCAGTACTCCTCTGGATCTATGACAGGATGGGATCGTGCTGCCCGGCAGTTTGTCTCTTCCACAGAAAAGGGCATTGATTAATCATGAGCTTACCGCAGAGCACAACGAAAGCATTGTAGCATGAAACTAATTTGTCTGAATACAAATCTGCACAATGGCACAGACGGCTAATGGAGGTAAAGCATAGCATCACCAGCATTGTATTCCTGGAAGCAGTGCAAGTTATAGATTTAGGTATCAATATTTATCTAAGCTTTAGCGAAGTCCGGACGCAGTACATTACTAGTGTGAAAGATAGAAGAAAAAGCAATGATATCCGTATATACCCGGAAAGAGAGGTGAGAGTGGGTGGGAGTAAGTGAAAGCACTTGTACAAACATCTGTGCAACCGGAAAGAGCAGAGAAAAGGCTAAAGCAATTACACAGGCCATGCGTACGAGGTAATTTAGCAGTGAGACCCAAACATTCTTGTAAACGAGAATGCAGCTTCAGCACACATTTTCTATTTCTTCATGTTGCGCTGCTGTTGCCGTTTCCCAACGATATGATGAGGCTCTCCGTTATGCTTCTGCTGGTTTTCCTGTGCAGGTATGTGCTGCCGTAGCTCAGAGAAATCTTTGGCCAGGGTAGCCAAGATGGCATCACCCACATCCTCCTCTCCTTCAGGTTCACTTGTAGGTTTGGCATTCATGCTTGACATCTCCTTCAGTACTGTGTAGGTCTTCTCCTATTGGTTTTTGTCTGCCCATACCATTTGCACTGCTCAGTGATGTCGGCAACAGTCGCCTCCAGCTCACCATTTTCCATTTTTTCTTTACTTTTTGGATACGCTGCGTGTCCTTGAGGTAGCATTTGAGGCTGACCAGTTCTTCTACCTTTGTTTTGCAAACATTCTTGTCTAGTGTTCAGTGATCGAGCCCAGTCAACGTTGAAGCACCCTTGTTATTTCTTTCCGTTTCTTTTTATTCTTGTACACCGCTGCCTGCAACCGTGCATTTTAATATGTTTGCGAGAATCTCTTTTCACCTGCAGCAACCAGAGTTTGAAAGTACCGACACAAACTGGAAGCATGCCCAGTTTCCAGACAACTAGCTGCTTCAAAAATTCTTATGTCAGATGAGTGACTGGTTGCGCAGCCGACATTATGGTGACATAATGTGTCCTTGTAGTTCTGTTTATTATTACTTATATATTTCACTGTTCGCGTCAAACTCGGCTAAAGGCCGAGTTTTCCGCATACGTAGGAACGCCACCACCCTTCAAGGATCGTGTGTTTTAATATTATAGCAGTGTATTTTGGTATTTGCTTTGACTATCAGTCCTTGGCTGATGCTGGTCATACCTTCAACATGTTGATGCGTTTTTCAAGGCATTCAATATACGTAGGCCGCAAGATTCTATCTTTTCATACCGAATACCGATGGCTAGTGCTTCCCCACTAGCTGCGCAAGTGTCACATCTGGCTGCGGCCAACTACCCTTTAATTTGTGTGTTGCCGCTATTGCTGTCTATGTCTCTGTGTGTGCCAGTATATGAGGAACGAGAATTGGTGTTATTGTTGTTGTTGTTGTTGTAGTCGTTGTTGTTGTTGTTGTTGTTGTTCTGGTTGTCATGGGCTGTGGCTGTTGAATGTAGGCTGTTGCTTTTGTTGTTGTACTTTTAGTTGAAGCTGCATCACAAATAGGTAACCACCTTGATGATGGTGCACAATATCCGTTGAAGAAGCTGCAAAAAACACTGTATTCTCAAACCAGTGAGCTGCAGAATGAAACCAAGTATCAAGCTGGCAAAGCTGTCAGCCACTCTAAACGAAATTTACACCAAACAAGTTGCTATTTGTCAACAGGCAGTCATAAAATTCGACTCCCTGACTCAGTCACTATAGTCTATGACTCGTACAGAGTACTGACTGTAGTCACTGAGTAGTCTACGTCCTCGTAGTACATTATAGTACATGACAGCATGCATCATGTCATGTCAGTACATCGACATGGCATGCATCCAGCACATGGCCATGGGAAAGCCCCTACAAAATGGCCTTCAGAGAAAGCCACGCGGTTGGAGAGGTAGTTTACTCGAAAAAACTGAGAAAGAAGTGCTTTTCATCTTCTTGCTGTTCAATGTCAAGCCAGAAACAATTGAGAAGCTGCTTGAAATGTGCAGAATGAGGCGATTTCCCAGATCTTTGAAGCTAGAAAGCGCACTGGACCTGCAATCTTTTGGAACTGGTCCTTCTTGAGGACAGAGATCAGACTAGCCAGGTGACAATGCTGTGGTTTGTTGGCTGACAATATTTGGAGGAAGCTTCAGAAATGACCATGAAGAAGGTCAATTCTTGCTATTTCCTCAAGATCACCAAGGTAACAGATACTTTTCAGTGGAGAAGAAAATCATGATTCTTAGGAGTTGAGATCGCATCGGTTGTTCAATGTTTTTCACTTTCGTTTTTTTCGTTGTGTAACTGTTTGTCTTGTTGGCGTGGTTCACTGGTTTGATGCCTTACATTTCGATCATGGCCATAGTTCAGAGCAATTTTCTTCCTTCCAAGATCACTCTCTGCAGTAAATGCGCAAATATTTTACGGAATTTCGGACTCTGTGGGATGTCATATAATTGCTGGTAATGGTGCTAGAGCTGTTAGCCAGTTAGTTGTAG